GAAGGTGTGTGTGTGTAGAATGTTGCTCCTATTTTGATTTTGGAATTCACTCTTCAGTTGTCAAAATGCCGTCCAAGCAAGAAGAGCAGCGTATCAAAATTTTGCTCGCGCATCGCGAAAATCCGAGCTACTCGCACGCAAAGTTGGCAAAATCGCTAAAAGTTGCCAAATCAACCGTTACAAATGTAATTAAAGTGTTTGGGGAACGTTTGTCGACAGCCAGGAAGTCTGGATCGGGGGGAAATCGAAAACCGGAAGCCGCTGAGACGACAAAGAGAGTTGCCGGTAGTTTCAAGCGAAACCCTAACCTCTCTCTCCGAGATGCCGCAAATAAGCTGGGTGTATCGTCTACAACCGTGCATCGAGCCAAAAAACGAGCCGGACTATCGACTTACAAGAAGGTAGTGACTCCAAATCGCGATGATAAACAAAATACGACGGCCAAAGCGCGATCCCGGAGGCTGTACACGACGATGCTGACGAAGTTTGACTGCGTGGTAATGGACGACGAAACCTACGTCAAAGCCGACTACAAGCAGCTTCCGGGACAGGAGTTTTATACGGCAAAAGGAAGGGGAAATGTAGCAGATGTTTTCAAGCACATGAAACTGTCAAAGTTCGCAAAGAAATATCTGGTTTGGCAAGCCATCTGTACCTGTGGCTTGAAAACCAGCATTTTCATAGCTTCCGGGACTGTCAACCAAGAAAATTACGTGAAAGAGTGTTTGAATAAACGTCTGCTGCCTTTCCTGAAGAAACACGGTTGTTCCGTACTGTTTTGGCCGGATTTGGCATCTTGCCATTACGGTAAAAAGGCCATGGAGTGGTACGCCGCCAACAACGTGCAGGTGGTTCCCAAGGACAAGAACCCTCCCAACACGCCAGAGCTCCGCCCAATTGAGAAATACTGGGCTATTGTCAAGCGGAACCTAAAGAAGACCAAAAAAACTGCTAAGGGCGAGCAGTAGTTCAAGGCAAACTGGCTTTCTGCGGCGAAGAAGGTGGACAAGGTAGCTGTACAAAATCTGATGGCAGGGGTCAAGCGTAAGGCCCGGCAATTCGGGTTTGGAAAAGCGGAAGCCTAACTGAATATTTTTCCTGAATTTTATACTAATTGAACTTGAAAAAGAAATTTAATTTGATTTTTTAAATAAACGATTTCACCGATTTACACGCGTTTTCCCTTGACCAAATTTTGACCGTATCACCCTTTATTTAGTGTATTTGTTAGTTACAGACAATGTCAATAGCGAAAGTCATATCTTCAACCAGGCGCTTACGAACAAGTGAAGTTTTGGGAAAGATGTGTTAAATATGTTGATAGGTTTGCAATAAGAATTAGGATTGTTGTGCTTTAGTTTTCGGTAAGGTATGATGTGTCAACAAAGCCCTTTTGAGCAAATTTTCAAACATCAAATTGATTGAGTGATTTATTGAAAGACATTGCGTTGCGAAAATTGACAAGTCATACATCTAACATAGTAGTAGTAGCAGTGTCGCATAATCTTATCACAATTGCTGCAAATAGTGCTGAATACGGATCAAAACTAACATAACTACTAACACTAAAATGATCCCGGAACTAACACTTATCCATTGCACTTTTAGTTATATATTAGTTTTATTTTTCTACTAAGTCATCTATGGTTCTTTCTATTGTTTGGATCAAGTACAACTAATACTAATCTACCTTTATGTATGTTTTACTCCCTTTTAACCCATTATCTTTATGAATGGCGAATCATATGACGTGAGACACGTACAAGCTGGAACTCAAAGAATTACTTCGAACAGGATGTCAAACAAATTCAGGACCAATCCAAATGAGACCAGAAACCAACAAGGCATCGGGGAGTTATATATTCTGCGAGAGGTATTTGATAAATAATCAAAAAGTGGTAAGTTAAAATCAGAGCCAAGGATCATGAGAGGTAATTGTCAATAATTCATTAATTAGTAGAAATCTCGATAACTTTTTCAAGGGAGCGTATCGGCTTTTGTAGGCGGTGCGTTTGGTCGTCGATTTGGTTTAACTGGCACTATCATCAGATAGGGGAAATTTTCCTCTACCTGCTGGTGGCGTTGATAAGCGTGTGCGAGCAGCTGCCGGTTGCGCCGGATCGACGATCGGATGCATTGTTTGCAGGAGCTGGTGCTTCCCTTTGAAAAAGTAATCGAGAAATAACCATATTATCCTGTAATTGATATTACTATTTTTATATATCAATGAAATTAGTCATGACAGAGTAACAGATGGGGAAGGACAATAGACACAATGACAAAATAAGTGACGACAGAAGACAAGACTGGTACAAAAATCAACCTTTTAAAAAAACAAGAATGCGCAATTATATTATCAAAACTATTTGGATCAGCACAAAAACAACAGTGACCAAACGGGCACCATAGCCTAGGAACGTCTGTGTGTTGATTTAAAATAGAGGCTCATAGAAGCAAAATTTATCAATAAAAGGGGTCCAGTGTAGAGTTTTAGCAAGTTGCTGCCACTGTGACTACAAAAAAAAAATATATATATATATATATATATAGAGGAAATGGCTCTAATGTTGACCTATGGATCTAAGATTGGGCCCATCGCTGAAAATCTGCTTTTTATTAATTTTATCTAGATGAACGCGTCATTGGGACGGTACTAATGGATATTTTTGGCCGCTATTGAAAATTTAGTCGATTGCTGAATTAATGTATGGGCCCAAATTGGGGGTATTTAGGCCGACATTATATCCATTTCCCCTACATGGTAATCGCAAAATACCCAATAATGACTACAAAGTAAGCATTTTCGAGGGAGACTGGGACTACCCATTAGACTGATGCAAAATTTGAAATTTTCGCTCCACAGTGCTCAAACGGTTCCAAATTGGGCCCTGATTAGCCTCTCAAAATTTGAACTCATTTAGTGAGAAACTGACTTGGCACAAACCATTTGAAGTTTATATGGGAATTACTATGGAGAAACCATAATTTCGATTCATATCTATTACAAAATTCACCAGTTCACTCTACTTTAGAAAAAGATAACTGAGCTTGTTGAAAATTATCTCAGCTACAACTTTGTTGCAGACCAGTTTTCGATCAAATGTAAGGAACAAAAGTTATTAATGATTCAAGTCACTGATGTCTTATGATTATGCTCAACCATCTGTTCAGCAGGCAACATTGGTGTTGATGGCGCGTAGGATAGAGGACAAAAATCATGGCCACTATGTCACACTGCAGAATGCAGTGTTGCCCACAATACAGTAGCTTAATCTTGCCATAAGATTATCAATCTCTTAAACAATTAATAACTATTTAATGTGACGTTTGGCTGAAAAACAATTTTCTGCAAAGTTGTAGCTGATAAAAATTCCCATAAGAATAACAATAGAATTTTTTAACAGTACAACATGTCAAAAGGCTAGAAGACAATGAACAAAAAGTTTTGTTTTCCCATAGTAATTTCCATATTAACTTTAAATGGATTGTGCCAAGTCAGTTTCTTATCAAATAAGTTTAAATTTTCGGAGGCTAATCAGGACCCGATTTGAAACCTTTTGAACATTGTGGAGCGAAAATTTAAAATTTTGCATCAGTCTACTACCTATTCAATGAGTAAATATATTACCTATTTATGAGTATTTGCTACTCAAAAATGAATACTTACTACTTGTTTTTGTAGTTGTAATTACTCATAAATGGGTAAAATTTTACTCATTTAGTGGGTAGTCCCAGTTTCCCTCGAAAATGCTTACTTTGTAGTCATTATTGGGTATTTTGCGGTTACCGTGTACGTCATGAAACCTCTGTTGATCCAAGAGAAGAGGTGACAATACAGGGGCGAAAAAAAACCACTTTTCTGTCAAACGTGAACCAGCTCCTGATTGGCCGATTTCATGTGCGTAAGATAGAGATAGAGATAGATAAAGATAGAGATAGAGATAGAAATAAAAGAGGAAGAAGCCAATTGTCACCTCTTCCTCTTAGCTGTTGATGTGTTTCATGAAAGACGAAACTATCAAAGTCAACCGCTACCGAAGCTTGAAAGAAAGACCAATGAAGCGACGGGAGAAAGAGAGACAAGCGATTGAAAATTTGTTTGTAGATGCCGACTGAGGTTCTCGAATACTGCGAAGCTGTTCGACTTCAACAGAAAAAGAAAGCTAATAGTCTCTTTGTCTTATATTGTGACGCCCTGGCTGGTTCATAATGCTGATTAACCAAAAAAAAAATACTCCAATTATTGGAGTAATCCCTTTACCTAATTACCAGCCACATTTGTCAAGAAAATAAATCACAGCTGGCACGCACAAAAATACTTGAACATAGGTACCCATTTTACCCATTGAGAATTGACCACTTTGTCAAGCAGTTTTAGCGTGACTTTCTACCAGCTATTTCACAAAACTGGACCAAATAATTTCTATTTTTTATGAAACGCACAACTGTTGGCTACTATTCTCGAGGTTCTAGAAGAAAAAATCTAAAAATAATGTTTTATTTCAAAGTTCGAGTGGTAGTAAACGTCATTTTAAGTGCTCGAATAAAGTGGTTAATTGCATATATTAGTGAAATCGGTAACAGTTATTCAGAATCAGTCTGTAGTAAATGAAGAAATGGCTTCCGAATGAAAATTTGCTACTTCTTTCCACTTTTATTTTCAATGGCATGATTTAGTCGAATAATATTATGCACATTCGAAATGTTAATAATAGGTAGCTAGTAACATTTATCTTTGCAACAAAAGCATTAACATTGCATTTATCTCGCTTTTACGTACAAGACACATTCATTTCTTCATTTATGGGCAGATTGGATGCAAATCCCATTCACATATAAACAACTTCCCGAATTGCGCAATAGAGAGCACTTTTCCTAAAGGACAAAGAAGAAAGGAGAACGGGAGGGGATTGAAACCTCTCATCGTATTTGTTAATAAAAACCGCCCCTCATACAACAATTGCATCTTACAATCCAGTTATTTTTCCATCACTCCCCAGAGCTACCAGGATTGTGGCATATTTGGTCACTCGGCCGTTCTGAAGCGGCTCTCCAAGTTGCTGGAGCTGTTGATTGCTCATGACTACGATGAACTTCTGCTCAACAATATCTGGTTGAACTACTTTATCCGGCTTTTGGTCACTTTCTGCGAATCCAACGAAGACAAATGTAAAATGGTAGCAGGCTACCTGAGCATGCTGGTGCTGGTAAATCTCACCAGTGTTCGGGAACAGCTGCACAAGCGACTGGAGGCAGAGCAACTTGACGAAAGTGAATCCCCATCGGAACCGGAAAAGCACCTGCGATACGTGCACAAAGTGTCCAAAATGATGTTTCGAAATGTTGAAGGTGCTTGCGGATACGCCATCACTCTACCGGTTATCACGGACCTCTTCTGCCGAATGCTGCAAGCTCATCCGATGGTGTACGTCGTGGAACATTGCATGCTGGATCTGCTGGGAACGTTCCTGCAGCACCGCCACGGTAAGATGTTCCAAATGGTTGCTGCATGTTTCAGAAACTTGCTCAACCCTGACATACAGGAAGAGGTAGTCGTAGATAGAGTGGCCAAGTTTTTTATCGAATCAGCCGGGAAAAGGTTCACACAGTCGATGTTCAACTATAAATCGAGCGAAAAGGTTGTCATGGAGGTTGTCGTGTCCATACAGAGGTAAGCTCGATTCCATACGACCTATCTATTCATTAAAAGGGGTTTAAATTTTGTTTACAGACTTAATTATGGAAAGGCCATTTTTGACGAAGCTGTTACCGAAACATTGCGCCAGCAGATGTTCCACAAGGAAGAAACGATCCGAGGATATGCCATTGATTTCCACGTTTGCACCCTGTGTAGCCCGGACGAAACGGATGGCGACCGAAATCTTGATATTCTGCAACATATCCTAAAGCTGTACGTGCAATTCGATCACAGTTCCGATGCGTTGAGCCAACTGGTCACCGATTTGTGGAAGTTGGAATTCTTCGATGATTTTCGCATGTTGTTCAACCTGCTGAATGAAGAAGCAGCTCGCAACGAGAACCATTTCATGGTGTTCTCCGTGGTGCACGTGATCAACAAATGCTACGCCCTGTTGATGATGGATTTGGAACAGCAAACCAGCGATCGTTCTCGTTTGATCGGTTTGCTCAAGAGCTTCATGCTGAGTTATCCACCGGGTCTTCAAATGTGTATCAGCTACGAATATGCGTACACCGCACTGCTTCAATCGGTTGATGCGGCTTACCACGACAAGATCAAGCGGTACAATGTAAATGTGAACCAGTATTACGAGGAGCTGTTTGCGGTGCTGGAGGAAGTGGCTCGGACGGGAAGCAATTTCTACGTAATCAGCAAGAGTCTCTCGGTCATTCGCAGCTATGGGAACGTCATCGCGGACGTAGAGCAAATGTGGACAGAACTGCTGCAGCAACACGTTAACGAATTTTTCGAAACCAGAGCAAAATTCAACAACCGCAACATCGTAAGTCAGTCAAAAATGTCTGGAATTACCTGACTAAAACGTTCTTTCTTTCAGGGAAAAAACAAAGAATTAACGGAGCAGTACGCAGTCTCATTAATTCGATTGACTGCCTTCCTCGAGCTGGACCCCAATGTAGAGGATAATTTGCACAGCCTGATGAGCATTATGCTCAACGATTGCCGCCTATTGGACCGAATGGAGTTGGACAATCTGCAAGTGAGCACCTTCCATCGGTTGTACAAGTGCCTGTTCTTCGTGATCATCAATGGCCTGAAGGAAGAGGTCACGGGAGAATGCTCGACGAAAGCAATGGGACTATTTCAGCAGATCGGACGGCGATTGAAGAAGCGTATGCTGGAGTTAATGCGCGTATTGATTAAACAGCTGCAGAAATACGATGAATCGCTCGATACGAGCGTGCACGTGTTTATTAGCCTGTGCGATATGCTCCTCATGACCCAGACCGATATTGCCAATCTGAACATCACCGAACTGCAGGATATGGTGTATACCGTTGAGCCGACGTTGCTGCAGAAACTGGCAAAATTTCTGCTGAACTATGTCTTCTCCAAGAAGTACGGTAAGTGAATGTGTTAATGTGCGCGAAACGGTGGCGGCGTGGGGTTTTGTTTATTCGGGTGATTTTTTTATGTTCCGTGTCAATCGCGTGACGGGCTCTGGTTCCGTTTGATTTTTGTCCCGGCGCTCTTCCGCTATTCGCATAACAGTCCCATGAAGATAGGAAATCAATAGGACATGGGATTGTTATGCGAATAACGGCAATATACCGGTGCTGCATTTATGTGAGGTCATGGAGAAAGCTTCACTAGGCAACGTTTGGATGTACTTTCGTCAAATCACTTTTGCTGTCGGTTTGTTTGCTCGAGACAGGCTAAAGCGGACGATGAGTGAATTTTTCCTTGCTTGGTAAGGTAGTAAAATCACTTTGCCATGTATCGACCTATTTTATTTCGTACACTGAACGAATTTGACATATTCCTGTTATGTGGAAGTCTAATAAATTTGCGCTATAAGATAATCCATTGAAAATGATATGATTGAAAATGTGTCAGGTAAATTCTATATGAATATCTGATACATTTACAATGCTGATAATTTGGTAACTTTTATATGATCGTCATATGATAAATGAAAATCGATTAAATTATAATAATTAACTGAAATGGATTTGAAACCCATAAGCATAAGCTATACTTTTCACAACAATATAATATATGTGTCATAAATCAATCGAAGTAAAGTTTATGTGAAAATAACATGAAATTTACTTCTTCTTTTGACACATATATTTAATCGATTTCTAAAAATAAATTCGAAAAATAAACATCAGGCAGTGGGAGCTTTCAAAGTTGTGCCTTTTTTTATTGTAGCTGATTTGGGATTCGATCAAGATCTGTTGAGGTGTGATGCTTTCGGTGTCTGTGCTCGATTCCACTGGGCCACGGCTGACTCCAAGATTGAGCTCGTTCAAATAGCATGAAGTAAGAACAGCTCTCCCGACATGGAATGTAGTGCAACTTTATGCTCGTTTTGCTAGAGTGAAGACAAATAGCACTGACAAATTTATGTTCCGTTTCGGTGGTGTGGTTTGTTCAAATCTTTCTTAATGCACCTGTGTGCAATAAATCAACGACTAAATTATATGATTTGATAGAACTGGCTCATGAAGTTCAAGTACTACTTAGGGCTGGAATCTGAATTAGCCGTGTAGAAGGCTTACAATTAGAATCATAGCAAAGTAAATATTACAGTAGAAATGTAGAATCATTTTTTTTTCAATCTCAATACATTCTTTTCTGGAACCAATTATCATATGAATGAGTGTACGTTAACATCGTTGAAAATTGTTTCAATAATTTATAAAGAACAATCATGTAAGATGTATTTTATTGGGAGCGATATTCATCCCAGAAAAACATGCAAAAACAAATGCCTGCTGTTGGATTTCTTAAAAGGCATTTCTATATGACTATTTAATGATTGGGATATATCTGTTTACAATCTTTAAACGTCAAAAATCAAAGCAAGCTATTACAATGAGATATACATGTTTTCCTATACTGCAAAGTTAAATGACAGTCCAATAGTTTCTACATATCTATTTACACGCGACATATCAACAAACGTCAAAAATCAGTAAAAGCAACTCCAATAAAATATACATGATTATCTTATAAGATATATATTTTAGTGAGCAATATTCATCATGAAAACAGGTATATTTTACTGAATTTTCTCATAGTGCAAACTTATATGATTTTCCATTAGTTTCTAGATGTCTGTTCCCACCCATGACATATCAACAGTTTTTCACCATGAAATATATCAGACAATATTCATATACTTCTTACCTTCGCTAACCACGTTCGAAGCAAAGTATTATCAAGTACTAAGTATGTGAAATTACGATAGAAATCATTCCATATCGCAGTCATAGTTTTTAAGTGATAATCCAATGGAATCTATCAATCATCACATAGAATGAATAAATATGCTGACATTGCTATGTTATAAGATGGATCCAATAAACGGTACATGTCGATTTGTTTCAGTGTACTCAGTCGACTGTTATTGGATCTGGTACCTATTTTTGGAGATAGCACTGGAATGTGGGTCAAGTTATGAGTTTCTAGAAAAAAAAAATACATTTTTCCATAAAACTTTAAGCAGCGGATAAACCAACTATGAGCATAAGCATGATTTGTATAATAAATTATGAGCACATCCATGGTCGCATTTGTCATGGTGGGTATACAAATGGTGATACAGCTTTGTCACTATATAGGCGAGGAGGTCGCGGGGGGAAAAGTGCGGTTTTAGAGCAAATTGTAAACAAACTCGGTCGCTGTCCCATACAAAAAGCTCTCATGGCTGAATCATGAATTTGACACATTAGAACACCTATATGTAGTCACCTTGGCATTTGTATAGATTTGGGATTTGCTCATAATTTATTATACAAATAATGCTCATGTTCATAGCAGTGTTGGGAAAATATCAAAAAATCAAATCACACCAAAGATGATGATGATGATGGTCCCAACGCTTACCCCTACAAAGGTTTGAGCTGGACGATTTATCTTTTAAGATAATTAGCAGCGGCGTCGGTGGTGTAGTGGTAAGCGTGCTTATCTCTCACCCTAGCAGGCCTGGGCTCAATCTCAGTCGGCACCGCCGGGATGTTCTGAGGCATAACATCTCTGATCACGCCTTCCTTCGGAAGGGAAGTAAATAGTAGCAGCATTGGTGCTCAGCATGGAAAACAAGATCGACGGAAAACAAATCAAGGAAAAAAAGAAAAGATAATTAAGTACAACATTTTGAAAAAAAAAACGAATTGGTTACAATTACAGATATAAATTCCCTCAACACTCATCAGTTGCTTCATAGCGATATAAATGCGAAAAAGCTTAGGCGTTCACCACTTCGTTCACCTTTTTGTCCACCGTAAATATTTACAAGCATTCCCAGCGATCAAGAGTTCATGAATAATCAACAAAGCATTCTAATACACTAGCAACCCCGCAATCTGATGCTATCGTAAGTTTCAGCAGCGTCAAGAATGCTCACGAACTCCCGACATTCAGCCAGAAAACTTACTACTAATTCAAGGCATCTTCCAAATAAGCTTCAATGTTCCATATTTTTTTTGTTTTGTTTATCAAATGTTAAATTCAGTCATTTATATCCGTAATACGAGGCTCAAACCTTTCTAGACTACTGAATATTACATTTTTTGTTATAACTACTATTAAATCAAATATTAAAAATCCATCATCACCATCGTGGCGAACACAATATTTTTTTCCGTGCTACAATAATTATTAAAAAGTCGTTATGACAACTATCCATATGAAATAAACCGTTAAAAACTTCGTCAAGATACATAATTTGTAGCCGGCGCCGGTGGTGTAGTGGTAAGCGTGACTGCTTTCTCACCCCAATGGGTCTGGGTTCAATCCCAGCCGAGGTCGGTGGGATTTTTCTGAGGCATAAAAATCTCTGGTCAAGTCTTCCTTCGGAAGGGAATTAAAGCCGTTGGTCCCGGCCCTTGTGTGTTGAATGGGTTCGATATCCTACGCAGGTTTGGAAGCTGCCTTCCTGCACATTCGATTGCCGTCATCTAAGCCTTAGCTGCAATGAATAACACAGTATCATCTGCAAAAAGATTAATGTCGCAATATCGTAAAATACGTCCCAAATCATTAATATACATAATAAATAAAATGGGCCCTAATACATTTCCCTGGTGCACTCCAAGGTTATTCCCCACGGGACTGGAAATAGAATCATTAAAAACAGTCCTTTGTGTTCTGTCACACAAATAGCTTTCAAATCATTTATATGCAGTACTTGTAACTCCAAAGCGCTTGATTGATCGTAACAATAAGGGCCTAGAAATTGTTTGAAAAGCGCGTTTTATATCGTAAAAAATAGCAACAATCGTATATTTAAACTCCAATTTATCTTTCCACTTCGCTAATACCAAATTCAACGCGGTTGCACAAGACTGACCTTCCCGATATCCCGATTGTTCTGGTATCAACAAACCATTACTATTTAAATACTCCAACAGCTGGCCTTTCTCAACAAGTTCTAAAATTTTCTCTAATGTGTGTATCATGTTGATGGGACGAAACTCTTCGGCTTTATTCGTTCCTACAACTGTTTGAATATGAACCACTAAGGATTCCTTCCAAATGTATGGCACATGTCCAGTCTGCAGCGATTCATTAATAAGGTCCAGCAAGATCTGGCCAATGACACGAAAGCAATCTTGAATAACTCTCGACCAATTCAATTGATTGATTTATCAATGAAACACTGTCGACAAAATAATTATTAAATTTAGATGCAATTATTTGTTCTGACTGTTCTAATGTGCCATTAAAAGTTATGGACCGCGGTTTGCAATTACTAGGTTTTAAAAAAGATTTCAAAATTTTCCATAACTCTTTGCTATTGTTTTGCTGCTGATCAATCTTCCTTTGGACATATTCACAACGAGCTTTTTTTTTTGTCGATTGTGAATATTTATTACGCGCGATTGTGTACCTATTCCAATTATTGTCACTATTTGATCTACAAAACTGTTTGTACCATTTGTCCCTTTTAAGCTTAAGACGCAAAAGTTCATCTAAATTATCGGCCGCGAATGGAAAATCCACGCTTCTCTCAACAAGATTCGAAACAGCTTGCTTCGAATATTTCCTCCAGCACATCAATTTTACAAAATTGACATATCTCGCGTCACTTTTCAAATAGACCAATGTAACATATCCGCCATTTTGAGAAAATCGAAGTTGAAGTTGGACAGATTATTATTTTAACTGTTTAGAAACAAAACATTTTGTGATACTATTTTTAATGTAGTCAGTAATAGCGTCGAAAATTCAGTAGAAACGATAAAATCACAATTTTACTTTGAGTGTCATGCTACAATATAGAAAAAAATCACATAGGTCATTTTGACTAGTCAAGTTGTACATCGAACATGCTACATTCGACGATTTTTCTCAATGACATATAATCAATGAGTGTTACATTGGATGTTTTGTT